CTACCATGCCCGGCTGATTTTTTGATTTATTGTAGAGATGAGGTCTCACTGCCCAGGCGGGTCTCGAACCCGCGGGCTCAGGCAATCCACTCAACTCAGCCTCTCAAAGGTGCGGGATTACAGGCTGAGGCACCGAGCCCGGCTGTGTCTTTCCTTTTTAATAAAATGTACTGTATGACAAAAGCAAACCTAATTTTTTTTTTTTTTTTAGTCGGAGTCTCACTCTGTCGCCCAGGCTGGAGTGCAGTGGCACACTCATGGCCACCCCAGTGTCGACCCACTAGGCTCCGACGATCCTTCCACTTCAGCCTTCCAAGTAGCCAGAACTATAGGTATGTGCTACCACACCCAGCTGATTTTTTATTTATTGTAGAGATGAGGTCTTGCCAAGGTGCCTGGGCTGGTCTCGAACCCACAGGCTTAGGCTATCTACTCGCCTTGGCCTCCCAAAGTGCTGGGATGACAGGCTGAGCCACAGAGCCAGCAAACTTAATTTTATTTTACATTGTATCTTCTTTGTAATTCCACAATTTAACTACTGTCTACAACTACAGGTACCATGAGGATACACTGTCCAGAAAATGGATGCTTTAAAATCTCTTTTCCCTTTTGATACGGTGTGATATGTTTCTGCATTCATGTCCCATCAAGGTTTATTTTAAGGCTTGCTGGTTTCCTGTGTGGCCTGCTGCGGTGGTTTGGATTTGGTTTGTCTCCCCATGAATGCTTGTATTGAAATCTGATCCTCAATGTGGTGGTATTGGAAGCGAGGCCTAAGGGAGGCATGTGAATCTTGGATCCCTCCTGAATAGCCTGATGCCTTTTCCGAGGTATGAGTTCTCGCTCTGGTCTGGCTGGATTAGTTCCCGCGAGAGTGGGTTGATACAAAGCCAGGATGCCCCTTGGGTTTTCTATCTATCTTTCCACATGTCCGTCTCCCCTCTGATCTTCTTCGCCATGTTGTGACCAGCAGGGAAGCCCTTGTCCGAAGTCAGGGCCAGGCAGCCTGCAGAACCTTCAGCTACGGAAACTTTTTCTTTAAAGTCTCAGGTATCCTTGTATAGCAACACAAAGCAGACCAAGACACCTATATACTCCCATTTCTTTTTTTTTTTTGAGTCAGAGTCTCACTCTGTAGCCCAGGCTGGAGTGCAGTGGCACGTTACTCACGGCCACCGCAGCCTCCACCTGCCGGGCTCAGGGGCTCCTTCCGCCTCAGCCTTCCAAGGAGCTAGAACCACAGGCACGTGCTACCACACCAGGCTAATTTTTTGGATCTATCGTAGAGATGAGGTCTCGCCAAGTTGCCCAGGCTGGGATCTGTGGGTTCAGGGAATCCTCTCACCTTGGCCTCCCAAAGTGCTGGGATTATAGGTGGGAGCCACCATGCCCAGCTCCTATGTCTTTCACGTTCGTTCTGAAGTGGAAAGAATTGGCCAGTGGGTCTACCTTCTCCTTGGGAAACCTCAGAGCAGTTCCCACGCCCTCAGGCTCCCAGACTGCTCCAAATACTAGCATCCTGTTTTCCATAACTACTTTGGACTTATCCTTGAAAGAGTTCAAGCTGGGCTCGGTAGCTCAGCCTGTAATCCTGTGCTTTGGGAGGCTGAGGTGAGTGGACTGCCTG